TAACTACTCACGCTAAAGCTATAACTACGAAGTCGAGCCAATTCCATGCATCTCTAAGATAGGTAAAAGGCTGCAGAATGAAACCCCTCGCCATCACCTTAACGGCGGACTCAAATGTGTAGATCCCCGTAAATATCACTCTGAAAACAACAAATACACCACTCAGCTTTAAATGCGATTATAGTTCCTTTGCTACCGTTTGTTACTTTTTTTTTTGGATAAATGACAAACCAAACTACACGAATATATCAAAATATTGAGCTCGATTCTTTCTTTATTTCTTCCTTTCTTTAGAAAATGTCTTGATAAATATTGAATTAAGTTATTCCTCAAAGTTCAAAAGGTCGAGGAGAAAAGGGAGAAAAGAAAAAAAAGAATCGGTTAACTCCTAGACTAACTCTAGACAAGCTAGGACAAGACTTACCAACGGAATACAATTTTATCACACAAAGTGGTGTGTCTACTGTGATAATGTGTGATATTTGAATACATACGCGTACACACATATATAAAATATCAATAATTATATTCAACAATCATACGAAAAGTAGAGCCACTCGGGGGGAGGGGAGAGGGGGGGGGGAAATGGTATTTATTTAATTTGCAATAATTAAAATATATTTCATACACGCGTTTGTGTGAATATTGTCTACATTTTTTATTGTTCTCTTAGAAATATGTATACTTGCAACACACGTATCGTTTAATTAACTCGTTGTAAAAAAACAAAATTTAAAGCTATTTATTTTTCTTGTTCATTAATAATATAATATCGTTTATTTTTTTTTATATTTAATATTTATACAATAAAAAAAATATATGCGTTTTAAATGAAATATAGGATACGAGTTTGGCCACTTTAATAATTACTGCAAATCAATGTATATTTGTATATATGTGTGTGTGTGTATCTATATAAAACATATATAATATAATATATATATATTACTGTCAAAGCCTGAAATAAGTCATTGCTAGTAATTCCTCGGCATTACTATGAATGCAAAGAGCCTTCAGAAGAAGAAGTCGGAAAATGGAAAAATTCTTCCAGTTTTTCCTAGGCATCGAACATAATATTTTGATATTCTATAGAATATCAAATTACTACTTAAACAATGTTAAAAAGAATACATTCTCAGATACAGACACACGCAGCCATACGATCACACAATATCAGTGATTGCAATGCAGTAAATTGTGCATCTTTGCAATTTCTTTGAAAAGTTTT